GATGCTGCCCGAAGCTCAGTTCGTCCACTCTCAAGCGATGTAATTTCGGTAGAGCAGGCAGTTTTCGGGTGCAACGCGCTTGATGCTTGCCAGCAAGTTTCAGCTCTTTTCCTCCATCAGAGGCAGCGTGCGATGAATCCGCAGCTCTATCGCCACATGCCGATGCTGCAGCAGCCACAGCCCTCGCCGCAGCAGAACTTTCAACAGCGTCGTCGTCAGGTGCTGCCCGACGCTCAGTTCGTCCACTCTCGAGCGATGTAATTTCGGTAGAGCAGGAAGGGTGCGACGCTCTAGTTCCTTAAAGTGCCTCGGTTTTTGTCGGACGCCTGCCTGTTTCAGCTCTTTATCTCGGTATGTCACCATCAAAGGCAGTGTGCGATGAATCTGCAGCTCAGCCGCCAGATGCCGATGCAGCAGCAACAGCAAGCGATGTTACAGCAGCCGCAGCAAAAGGCTTAGAATGATGTGCGTATCTTGCAGTTGGGGCTGTGACGGTACCTTGCGGCCCTTCGCACCATGTGCGCCGATTTGTGCATCCCGAGGCTTGAGATTGCAGCTGCTTCGCAAGGCATGCAAGGCCACTCAGCGCGGATGCCAATGACATGACATTGGGAGATGAGAGCATGTCCTGGCACAGCTGTGGCAGGCGACTCGGCCCGTGCGCAGCAGCTCCCAGCAACTCGGCCCTTGCCCGGGTTTCAACATGATTCTCCGTCAACGCTGGCAGGTCTGGCCATCTCATGTTTTTCTGCTGGGTTGTTGCGCTCAGGACACGGAGCAGTTGCGCAATTCCAGCATGGGCCCCCGCGCGCCCTCTGTGAGTGTGCACACGGCTCAGCAGCAGTTTGAGCCAAGGGCCCGGAGAATCCTTGCTCTTTGACTCCGACTTTGTGTTGAGGTCCGTGCCTTCCGGACCGTTGGGCTTCCCAATCACGCGTGGTAAGGGAATTCTTCCCCGAGGCGTGAAGAAGGCGCCGTGCGTCCGAAGGTGAGGTTTGGTAGCTTAAGATTTCGAGGCAATAGCGTCTAGCTTGAGGGTTTCCTGAACGCTGTCGCGGATTCGTCAGCCATCGAAGGCAGCAATGATGTGACAATCTGAGCACATGCTGCAATAGGGCTGCCTCAAGGTGCGACAATCCAACACGAAGGAGATACACATCGATATCAAGCCTGCGATGCTTTTCGATTTGTCATGGACGGTTTTTGGTCTTCAAACTGTAAAAGCCAACACGGCGTCTGCAATAACGGTGCCCGACTGGCAGCTTTAGGCCCCTTTAGGCGTCAGGCTTGCTGCAAGCGAAGATTCGACAACTCAGTTGCGTTCGAGCCTCTTGAGTTTTTCTAGCCATCTTAGAAAGGTGCCCTGTTCAATGACTGCTAACATCCTTGTTAACCACGTCATACCACTTCACCGCATCTCTTTCCTTTTGATGATTTCCGCTGCAGTGCGAGAGCTAGCGGCGTCCTTTCGAGCTGGGCGTCGCCCCACAATGCGCTTGTAGCTCTTGTCGGCTTGGGCCATGTCTGAGCCAAGACGAGGACAGCGTGACAACATGCATAGTAAGCATTTATGAGAAGTCATTTCAACTATATCACAGCAGACACCCCTCAAACCTGATTCCTGGACGAGGTGCTTCGCCGCCGTCGCGAGCACCTGACGGCATGGCGCTTCGCGCCTGTGCCGCCCATCGACGAGGGTGCCGAGCTCCTTTTGTCTGAGCTGTAGCCCCAATCCTTGGCTTGATAATGTTTTCCACGTGTTTGCCCAGCAAAGGGCTGCGTGCTGTGCCACGTCAGTGGCAAGGGATGAGCGATGGCCCATTGGAGTCAGCCGTTGGATGGTATCTTCCTTGCGCGGGTGTCAGGCCTAATGGAAACCAAATAGGGCCACAGGCACAAACGAGATCTTTGATCCTGGTATGCGAGCTTGCGTATGAGTGCTGCACCTTGTTGGCTTGTTATGTGAGACCACCCCGAACTCACAGAATGTAGGTGCAAAATGGTGGAAGCAGCCTTGTGGGATTCTTGGGTAAGCGAGGTCAGCCGGAGAAGGCAATACCGCATGCAACGTGAGAAGTTTAGAGGCCGTCGCTCAGTCTCCAGGCTCCCAAGACGAGCATCGAGCACCATGAGCTGCAGAACTCCCACGGGCCAATGTGCCGTGGAGTTTCTGGTAATCTGGTAGCGACGACCACAACGCGCCTGCACACAGCGCAAAATACGACAGAGCACCCAGTTCTGTGAATCGGTGGCACCAGCGTGTAGCAATGTTGACGCGCGGCCGGTCTGTTTTGAAGAGTCGAGTCATGAAGGTGCTAGCCCGAAACCTGCCAGCCCAGGCCGAAAGTCCACAGGCTTTGCAAATGCAGGGTACTTCAAGTCTGTCAATCTGAAGCACGCCCGCGTGCAAGAGCCGCAGAACCCTCAGCCCATTGGAGTCGCGAACTTCGAAACCGTCGAAAGACCCACTCCGACCTTAAAAGCAACGCCTTTTGCGCGTGCACGTCTGTTCTGTAAGAATCCGGTCCCTAAGTTTCCGTCTTAGTCTCAATATAACAGGGAACCAAGAACACCATTTTGTAGAGGGCCCCCTTCTCGCATCAATATACCGTCGAGGGTCTCGCAATTGCGGGCTCTGAAGCCTTGTGGGGCTTACTGTAGGGTCAAGAGTTGACCTACCTTTATCAAGCCAAGACCCCAAATCCCCAAACTTAAAGGCGCGTGGCAAAACGCAAATCGGCACTGCCTGCGCGTCGCGCCTCCACCTACGGTGACGTTTTTTAAATAAGTGGAGGGCGGCCAACCAGCAACGGCCAGGGGGGTAGTATAAAAGACCAGTTTAAATCCGCATGTTTTCGTGTTTATGCACTAGCCCCCTCCAGCCAAGCCCCCCTCCAGCCCCCCCTCCAGCCAAACCCAACCCTTCCTCCACCTCCAGGCTCCACAAACCCCCTCTCCAGCCCCTTCAGCCAAGCCCCCTCCAGCCAACAGCCCACCCCCTCCAAGCCCCCTCCAGCCAACCCCCTCTCCAGCCAACCCCCACCCCTCCCGCCAACACCCTCAAACCGCCCTCTCTCCAGCCAAACCCCCCTCCAGCCAAGCCCGTCAACCACCCAGCACCCCTCCAGCCCCTCCCTACTAGGTGTTGGCTGGAGGCGGTTGGCTGGAGGGGGTTGGCTGGTGGAAACCGGCTGGGGTTGGAGGGGTGCTGGGTGGAGGTTGGCTGGCTGGAGGGGGCTTTGGCTGGATGGGGGCGGTTGGCTGTGGAGGGGGGCTTGGCTAGGCGGGTGTTTTGGGGGGGCTGGGGGGGGAGGGGGTGTTGGCTGGAGGATGTGGGAGGGGTTGGCTGGAGGGGTGGTTAGGGCGGTTTGGGGTGTTGGCTGGAGGGGGTTTGGGTGATTGGTTGTGGGGTTGGTGGGGGGGGGGGGTGTTGGCTGGAGGGGGGCTTGGCGCGGGAAGGCTTGCTGGAGGGTCTATTTCCGGATGTTTAAAACGCTGGGCGGCCTGACGCCGCGCTCCACGGAGGTAGTATGAAATACCTGTTCGACTGTTTAGATGTCGGGTATTTAAAAACAGGCACCGTAAATCGGATGTTTCTATAACCCTGCCATCAGACTCCGCGTTGGAGGCCTGACAGCACCCGGCCACCCGGCAGCACAGGTGGCGTCAACAAGGCCGGATGCTTGGCACATTTATGTGGCCACGAGTGTTGTTGCTGTGGCTGTTCCTGCAAGATACGAGCAAGGGATGCCTAGAGCGAGGTGTCGTTGCTACGTGGGACAAGAGCGTCCAATCTACTGCCATAGGGGCGACCACGCAGCCCAGCGGCCTAGCATGCGGTGCTCTGTCTTGGCACTTTTTTCGTACCAGAATCGAGCGTTCTGGTCTACGGGGATCAGGGTCCCCAGGCTCAACACCCCACGACTCCGTCCCCAGAACCCGTAAATCTTGCTCATAACTTTTTAGCTGCAGGCATACCGCGTCCTCCAAATCTGGTCTGCCAGCACCCCCGAGATGCGTGCAGCTACCTAATTCTTTGTTGGACCTTATGCACGCGCGCAGTGCTTGTATTCAGCATACTCTGCAGCCGTCAAGCTTTCCGGATCTCGCATCTTGTTACTGTAGTCTTACTACGTAGCTCTTCGTCCGGAATGAGGGACTTAGGTTCCTAGCCTGATTCAATTTCCCCCTTCGCATACTCTGCGCCCCTAGCTGCCCTGAGCTGTTTTGTTCAAGCTGGTCGTCCTTCGGCGCTATGGGTTGTTGCGTGTCGAATCTGAAGAAGTCCAAATACACGGACGCCGCAAGTCAGGATGCATCGTTTCTTTTGGTCTGGGCCTGTTTATCAAGTGGAGAACTTCAGACTGCCTGAAGCTGTTTAAAGTCCGACACCCTGAGCCCCAAACCGCCACTGGGTGAATGCACAGCGGCGTCCAGGACAAAACCTCATCGGGTGCAGAGGCACGTCCGCAAAGCAACGCAGCAGGAATGGGGAGCGCTTCTCTCGTTTGAAGTGGGTGCAGCTGAGTTATTTGGCGTTTAGGGTTCGCGACGGGCATTTTGGGCTTTGCCACATCTGAACTGAATCTGACCGAGGCTTCCAGACTTCGGACAGCTCAACAAGGGAGCAGCCACGGCCGGAGAAGGTCCAGCATATTGGGATTCAGGACAGGAGTCGAGTGGCCAAAAGATGGGCCATTGAAAACGGATTCTCATAGTCGACTGAGCATTCATGGTTCCAGGCAGAGATGTTCCATCCTAGTAGCGAATGAGCACGATGCATGCTTCTACATGCCCTCTCAACCCTAAAGTGTAATAGGGAGTACTATAATCCCTTTTTAAAGGGGGAGTATCCCAAATTCCAGCTTTCAACGCTAATGTCCGCTGCCTTGCATGCTTGTGCCATGCAAATGCGAGTTCAAGCATTTGTGTTCACGCAGACGCGTTAGGCACCTGCGCCGGACCCTCAGAAGCGCAACGCTGGTGTCATCACGCCGGCAATGGTCACAGTTCCTCTATTTCCCGAGACTTGTTGGCAATGTGAGTTCTGATTTGTTGTGTGGTGGCATCTTCTATATAGCCCCTAGAGGGCCCATATAGCCGCCGAAACCTCGATACTGTCTTTGGCTGCGCAGTTGCCTTTTACGACTGTACATTCTTACCAAACCTAATCCGCGTGCAAGAGCGATCAAGGACTCGCCTGCGCCCGCCACGGGACTTGTGTTGGCAGATGCCGTTCAGGACGAAACCTGTGTGAGGGTTTGATTTCAAGAGTTTAGTATTCACAAGGGTTTCGCATTCCAGACAAACCCAGGAAATTCAGGAACACCAGAGGCTTTTGTTAATACCGGCTTTTGCTAATACCCTTTGCATGGCTTGAGAACTTGCCACGCTTGTGAAGACCAGAATGCATCTCCCATGAAGTCCTCATAACTTGTGAATCTGAGCTGACCGAGCTTCTGAGGGTAGTTTCATGGGCCCTGAATTTGGTCCCTAACCTCCTTTAAAGGCTCTGATTTATGGGGCCATATTTGTATAGGTATATGGGCGGTATAAGAGAGCTGTGTCATTGAACCTTGCACAGTATCCTGCGGGTTTAGATTTTGGGATGAGGACCCCCTGAGGCGAACTGCATAAAGGCACAACCCTAAACCCGAAACCCTGAACCCGGAAACCTGAACCCTAAACTCTATAAACCCTGAACTCCTCAACCCCAAATGCTAGTCAGTCGTCCCGAAATGCTACCCTGCAGCGTGGCTTGTCTGCTTGGCGGGTGGCAAAAAAACCCAAACCCTAAGCTAATCTTTGTCTTTGAGCACATGGAGGATCCCGAAATTAGGGGTACAGTTTTTTCGCAGGATGACGCGTTCGCGCCCTCCGGCTGTGAAATCGGCTGTGGGATTTGGTGCCTGAGCTCCGCCACCAGTGAGACTGAGGCGCCCCAGATCTCCGGGCCGTACTCCTAGCTGCGGAGTCAAGACCTTCTCGCTTTATTTTTTTGTTTAGGGTTATCGGGTTTGTTTAGGCCCCTGGGCTGTTTAGCATGTGGGTTCTGGGCTCGCTGCGGCCACAAGGATCCCACAAGCGTGTCCACCTCCAGGGGTGAATCCTAGACACCCAAGATCGAGGTTGAGAAGGTAGCGGTTTGCGGGTTGAGGTGTAAAGGATGTTTGTTTAAGGGTTTCGGCTGTCGTGATTGGGGATGACTTTGCAGTTTCCCTGCAAGAAGGGACGCCCGAGTCGCAGAAGATTCCCGAATCCCAGCCGAGGCGAGAGGCTAATTTCGAAGGCCTCATCACTAGGAAAATTCCAACACCCAAAAGATAGAAATACAACGATTGGCCTCTATAAAACTGAAAGAAGGAATGAGGGGGGTTGAGGTTTTTTGGGGGAGGGGCACCGAACTTTGGAAGGCCCGTGGAAGACTTCTCGAGGAGATCCGCCGCGGCCCGGAAGCCGCCTACATCGCCCTGCGGGATGCCCCGCCGGAGCTCCAAGGCGACAAGGCGGTCGTCCTGGCGGCAGTCAAGGAGAACGCCTTGGCCCTCGAGTTTGCGTCCGAGGTGGTGAAGGAAGACAAGGACTTTGTCCTGGCGGCGGTGAAGGAGAACGGCGCAGTCCTCAAGTTTGCGTGCCTTCGAGCATGGCGGTCCACCAGTGCCTGCAGAGGCAGCAGCTCAGCAAGGGGGCCCACATTTCTGATCTTGCAAGCTTGTCCCGCGTAAGGTGGCAAGAAAATAGCAGTCGTAACAAGAATCACCATAACACACACATATTGTGTTTCTGTGTGTCTACATTTAAATGTATGTGTATATGTTTTTGTATGCGTAGGTGCCCTCTCTTGGGGTCTTCTTTGCGAGGCTCCGGGCAGGGGAGTCGCGAAGCTTATGAGTCGGCCGAAGAGGAGGCCGGGCATTCCGATTGCGCTCGGGGCGGGGCTCAAAGAAGCGCGCTTTCATACTTCAAAAAAAGTTTGGGATCCCCGAATTCAAGCCTCAAACCCCAAGCCCGTTTTTCTGTATGAAAACAGTTCAGACTGTTTAACCGACATCCTGAGCCCCTCCAGGTTAGTTTCAAGGTTTCCAGCCCTCCCATAGCAGAACTACCAAATCAACTACACCCCAAACCCCCATGCCCCGAGAGAAACATAAAGGAATCCAGCGGTCGGGAGGGGGGGAGGGGCAGCCTTGGAAGGCCCGCCAAAGGCTCCTCGAAAGGATCGGCCGCGGCCCGCTCGACGCTTGCATCGCCCTGCAGTATGCCCCGCCGGAGATCCAAGGCGACAAGGAGGTCGTCCTGGCGGCGGCGAAAGAGACGTTCAGGGCGCTACAATTTGCGTCCGAGGCGCTGAACAACGACAAGGACTTTGTCCTGGCAGTTGTGAAGGAGAACGCCTTGGCCCTCGCGTTCGCATCCACGGCACTGAGAGGGGACAAGGATGTCGTCCTAGCGGCGGTGACACAAAGCGGCGCAACTGTCAAGTTCGCGTCTGCGGAGCTGAAAAAGGACAAGGACTTCGTCCTCGCGTTGGTGAAGGAAAACGGCTTGGCACTCAAGTACGTTGCCGACGAGCGGAAAGAGGACAGGGAGGTCGTTCTGGCGGCGGTGAAGAAGCACGGCTCGGCTCTCAAATATGTTACCGGCGCGCTGAAAGAGGACAGGGAGGTCGTCCTGGCGGCCGTGAAGAAGACCGGCTTGGCCCTCAAGTATGCTGCCGACGCACTGAAAGTGGACAAGGAGGTCGTGCTGGCGGCGGTGAAAGAGATGGGCCGGGCCCTCAAGTACGCTGCCGACGCACTGAGAGAAAACAGGGAGGTCGTCCTGGCGGCGGTGCAGAAGAACGGCTCGGCCCTCGAGTATGCTACCGACGCTCTGAAAGAGGACAGGGAGGTCGTGCTGGCGGCGGTGCAGGAGGATGGCACGGCACTCGAGTATGCGTGCAAAGAGGTTCGGGCGTCCCGTAGCTTTGTGCTTGAAGCGGTGCAGGCCACGCGGGCCTGGTGGCTGGTGAAATTCGCGGCCGACGAGCTTGGAGCTGACACGGCCCTTATCGAGCGGTACAAGGCGGCTGCTGGCACTGGACTCATCTTTAGTTTTTACGACAGCTACAGCTGCTTCGCTAGAATGCGTGACCGCTTCCCGACGGCCGGCGCTTCGGTGCCCGGTGGCACGGCCTATGAACACGTGATGGACATGCTCAGGAGTGACGACCACGGAAGCCCCTCGCCGTTTTTGGGTAGCTTTCTTAACCCCCAAAATGCTCAAGGGCACGTGTGGGGACACGATAGGCCAGAGAGAGGTCTGGAAAAGGGCTCTATACTGTGCGCTGGGGTGTGGAAACAGCCTCACCTCACCTCGCCTTTCGCTAATGTCATGCTTTGTCCTATTGCGTGCTGGGCGTTCAGGCACAGCGACCGTGTGGTTTGACCAAGAGCCTGTCTTCGGTCACTGCGCCGACGATGGAAAGTGGAGCCACCCCAGCACCGACTGTGGCCGGGACATGGTGCCCGTGCCGCTAATGGAGGGCCGTGACGCCAAATGGCGGTCGACGGTGGACTCCAGAAGCGCCTCCCTCGTCGGAGGCTCAGAAAAGTGGCAGACCGCGCAGTCGTACATTTTCGGGTGGGGCAAGACACTCAGCAAGTGTCATGCGCATGCTCGGAAGCAAACCTCTCAGGAGCCAGAAGTTGGCAAGAAGTACGCGTGCTTCTTGGCCAGAAAATTTACCAGGCGATCAGAATAGTTGCGAGGAGAGGCTTGCGGCGTTTAGATATATCGGGAGCGGTTCACAGCACCATGTCCTCCGCCATCCTTAGTGAAGGCTGGTGCTGCCACTGGCTCAGAGAGGTGCGCAAGCACCATCAGGCAGGCGAAGTGATCTGCTGTGCCGTGTCGAACATTTACGACACAGACGCTTGGACTGCAACTGAGTGAAGGGCTGGAAGTCCAAAGCTTGATTGCCACCGGTGAGTCGCACAGTTCACGGAATCTGAGTGGCCGCTCAGGATTGGGCGGAGACATATGGGGCGGGGTCTTCCGAGCTTGCAGATGCAGATGCAGAAGAGCACGGGCTTCAAAAGAGCCTTGGGCGGCAAGAAGACTGCCTTGAGCCCGAACACTTTAGTCGTGGAAGGGCTTGACAGACTCTGACAGACGTTTCCCTGTCGGCCACCTCGCAGCCCCTACACGCCCCGAAGCATTCTAAGGCCTGTGGAACCCCTTTCCCCACACTCGAAGCCGTTTACGATTGTTCCACTCTGCAACTCTTCTAGCGGGGTTCCTGGGCATGGCCCTTGACTGATTTTGACCTTGCTAATCTAGCCGTGGTTCTCCAGCACACACTAGGACAGGGTTCACTATGCCCTGGCTTTCAATAAGCCCAGAAGTGGTACTGGAGTGATGCCAGGGAAGTCTTCAAGAACGGGAAGCCGATCAGCTGGGGCACAGGCACAATTCGCATCTCCAATGGCGACTCCCACCAGCGCCGAGCGCCCATTCACCCCCGGACGGCCAAGCCGTTGGGGGTGGGATGCCGGTGGGAGCGACAGGCTCTGGATGGCATGGAGTTCCCCGTGTACGCATTTTTCATGCCCTGAGCCCTTCAATATGGTTATCATGCCTCTCCACAAGCCACATGCACGAACCTGCTGTTTCACCAGGTGGATCCTTCGCACACCTGTGCTCAACCTCATGACACCAACTTTCCATGATTGTGCCATACTCTATACCTAGGTAAAGGTGCGACAGCTGCAGATGCTGCTGTTTGTGTCGGTTCCCGTGTGTCCTGACGAAGGGTTTCTCGCGTTGATACTTTTCATCCTGGTGTTGGCGCATGTGCTGGTTTTGCAAGCTCCGCAGGCTGTTGCGGGAGGGACTCCACCAAGAAAATCAGGTTTCTTGTTGGCGACGTAGTTGCATATGGCTGACTCATGCTGAGTTTCGTCGCGTTCTGGAGTGGAGGCCGCCACTGCAGAACATCAGCGGATCATCGCCCCTTCCACGGGCATCAGCAAGGCTCGTGCTTTCCATTCGTCAGACAGTTGCCGCCAAGATGGACAGCTCGGCCAGAAGCACAGGGTAAGTGGAGTTTCGGGCTTTGTGCAGAAGTTTTCCTAACATTTTCTCATCTATCGTTTCAGGAGCGTTCCGCGTAGACCGTAGAGGTGAGCGGGCGCCTGAGCCATGAAACGCCGAGTCTTTCCACGCCCTGGCAGCTTGGACAGCGGTGGCAAAAAGTGCAAGCTGGAGCCTGCGCAGGAGGGCCATGAGGAAGCGGCGTCTTCCGAAAGCGCAGCAGCACCTTCCCAAGCAGATCTCATGCAGTCGCAGCATTCCCACGATACCTCATGGGCTGCAGAGAACTGGGCCCCAGACTCGGAATGGGAAGAGACCTGCTCCAAACTGGAAACTGATGTAAAGACGGAGGAAGATGACACATCCGCACTTGCCCCCGAATTGCCATGGCAAGGCTTTGGAGATGTGACAGAGGAGTATACTGCAGAGTACACCATGCCAAAGGAGGAGGAGACCCAAGAGCCCTGTGAGACAGGAACAGCCAGCAAGCCACGGCAACAGATGAGCAAGAAGGACCTCACGGCAGCAGACATCATCCAGCGCATCAAGACAGGAGACTTCGAGTCTCTTGCAGAGCGCATGGAGATCGGCATAAGAGACTCGGACTGGGAAAGGATGTATGCCAGGCGGGCTTTGGAAACTGAGGTAGACCTTTCTCACACCACCACCCGAAACCCTCAACCCGCAACACAGTCAGGAACCTATGATAGGAATATACGAGTCCCCTCCACCCCTTCGACTGTAGGCCGTGATCCCAACAACCGACTCTCTCCGCCATCGCAACCCAAAACCTGCGCCAGGACCGCGGTCGTCGACTTCTTGCGGCGGTACAACAACAACTACTGTGAGCAGCTCTTCTACTTTGAGCTTCAGCGAGCCGGCCATGGCTGTCATGCAACGTTGGTCACAAGAGGATTCTACAACCGCCGTTTTGAAAGTGGCTTTTCAACGTGTGCCTCACCCTTGGCCGCCAAGAGAGCGGCCGAGCAGGCTGCATGTCAGGCGTTCAAGTTGGACCTCGAAGTCAACGAGGTGAGACGTCGGCTCCCACCATCCATGAAAGATATCCGAAACTTCTTTGCCCTTGGCCGGGTTCAAAAGGAAGAGCTGAGAGCTCTGGGCTTCGATTCAGCCTCTGTCCAGTTGGACATTATGAAATCGATCTATAACGGTTTGAGGAAGCTTGGCTGTCTCACATCCCTCTGGGATCGAAACAGTGCCGATTGGTGAGCCGTGGCGTTCTAAAAGAGGGTAATGACATGGTTTCGGTTTCTCTTGAACCTTTGTGCTGCGCCATTTTCACTGCTATGCAGATCTTAGACCTGCTTATTCGTATGACGTGGCCCCATGTAATCCCATCTACACTAGATGCGATATTTGTGCCCCCTTCCCACACCCCAGCCGGTCAAATCGTCCTGACATTGCCGCTCGAAGATGTGGTTTAGGGCCTCGGGTTCATGGGTTTAGAAAGGTCATGTTTCTGTTCCTCCAGATCGTGCGCACTAAGCGCGTCTTCAGGGAGGTGCCGTATTAAAGAATAGGACCCCCAAAAGGGACCCTCACGTTAACGATACACAACCGGAGTTCATGAGCAACCCAAGCTTGTTTAAGAGTTCCACCTAGGGCAAAATACGAAGAAACAACGTGTACCTGTTGTTGTAATGGCGTGGCCGATAGAAATCGTGCCAGTATCTCCCACTTCATGTCTCAGGACCGTGCTTGTAGTCTCAAAATCAAGTCCCCTACCGGGTAAAGTAGGATCGCCATCGAAAACACTTTGGAGGCCCCGTGCCCGACTCGGGAAAGCAGTGAGAGCTACAGAATTTTGGGATGCTAGCACATCGTCCCGGTCATGCTTCAGCCTACCATGTTCCCAACCTAGAGTGAGAGCTGATGGTGAGAGGACAAAGCCTTTGCAAAGTCCTCTTGAAGCCCCAGCCAGGCTCCGGCAGAACCGACGACGCGACACACCCCTGCAAGGAATTGCCAGGAAAATGAGTCGGGAGATTCTTGCAACACAGTCCCTGATCAGTGGACAGGAGTGGTCGCCAGATTTTGCATGGGTTGAATGGCAGCGCTTGGTGGCTCCAGACGTCAGTCTCAAAAGAGTGCTGTGCATAGCATCAGCTACTGCTATATGAGAAATGCTGTATACAAGCTCATGAGCGTCCGCATGCTACACACAGCGAACGTGCGGGCAGTCCTGTTGCTACGGTTCTTATATCATGGGCTTCGGGGTCCGGGTGTATGTCAACGAAGGTTTTTGTGCGGTGGTCATGGCGCTTTTCAGAGCGCCCTTGCCTGGGGCAGCGCAACCGGTGGCGGCGGCTCGGCAGGAGTTCGGCGAGCATGTGCACGGTGCCATTGACTATTCTAGGACCATTCTCGGATCTGAACTTCTGAAACTTTGGTTTGAGATCCGCGTTGCCTTTTTGCCTAACCAGGTGTCACGAACCATCAGTTGGAAACCCGGAGCTGGGCAGCATCGTATCGTTTGCACCGCCATTTGTACCATCACTTTACGTGCTCCGGACATCCCCTAATCCCCTGCTTCATCTCACGTGGCTGAGGTCCGGTCCGCTTCTTGTGCGACACTGAGACTATCACCTTGCGCAGCCTGCTGCGCAGCCTGCAGTCCTTCCCCATCTCACGGTCCCCGATCACGAGGTCCACCGTACGTGTGCGGTCGCAGACGCCGCCACGGATCAAGAGTGTGGCCCGTCTGCGTTTCAAACACGTTTCAGATGTGCGTGCGTTTCAAGGCGGTCACAGAGAATTGCGCAGGTTGTAGATGCAGTGTGCATTTTGAGAACCGCTCTCGCTCTGCCGGTTTTTGAAGGTCCGAACATGTTTTTACGCAGACAGGAAGATCAGCAATGCGCAAGCCTAAAGGATAAAGGGCAACATCTGCAACGTATGAGTATATAAACCAGCAAAGTGGCCAGCCCACATACCCACCAGCGCCAGAGCTTCGGCAGCTCAAGAAGGACAATGAGGATCAAAAGGCCATGAAGAACAGACGATGACGAGAAAAAACAGCCGGCACATGAAATCACATGAAGGCGCGTCTCAAGCAAAGCCAGACATGGCAACCGTGTTATGGAAATTTGAATGTCAAAACGGGCTGCTCTCGAAGGTTCGTGGAACTTCGTGCAACTTCGTGCAAAGAGAAGATAGGTCCCGAAAGCACCCCCGTATGATAGGCGTCGATAGACCCCTGTATAGACCGGAAAGACCCCTATGTTTCTTTGATAGGTGCCCATGCTGCAGCCCCCCCCCCCCCCCCCCCTTCATTTGCCAGAACTGTATGCTTACAGGGCCTATAGCCGCTTTGGTATAGACCCCTATACATAGACCCCTTCCTGTCCGTAGCTATACCACCCCCTTATGCAGCATGGACCCCTATGAGTTTTCCATGGACACCTACCCTCCTCACAATCGACCCTCCCTCTAGAACTCTAGATCCCTCTACCGTACCGGTCTAAAATCTTAAAATCAACAAACCTAACTGCATAGCGCCGAGGTTTGCATCTGTTTGTGCGCGTGCGTGTGGGTGTGATGTTGAGGCGAATGAATGATGGACGTGCTTAAACGAAAAGCGCCACGTCGCTACGGCGAGTTTTCCTTCCGGAAGTGTCAAGGATCTTGTTGATCAACATGCTGTTTCATCCAGTAAAATATCTTGCCATGTCTTACAGGGAAGATGTTACGGCGAGTTTTCCTTCCAGAGGTGCTGACGCATGCCGTCCAAAGACAACACCACTTTGCTACGGCAGGTTTTCCTTCCGGAAGTGCTCGCGGCTTTTTTTTTGAGTCTTGCAATGTCTTCCAGTAAACCACCATATTGTTGCGGTGTGTGTGTGTGTGTGTGTGTGTGTGTGCCTGTCTAGGGGTTTTGAGGTTTTGGGCTGTCACGGTCTCGTCTGCTTCTAGGGGTTTTGGGCTGTCACGGTCTCGTCCGCTTCTAGGGGTTTTGGGGTTTTGGGCTGTCACGGTCTCGTCCGCTTCTAGGGGTTTTGGGCTGTCACGGGCTCGTCCGCTTCTAGGGGTTTTGGGGTTTTGGGCTGTCACGGGCTCGTCCGCTTCTAGGGGTTTTGGGGTTTTGGGCTGTCACGGTCTCGTCTGCTTCTAGGGTTTTGAGTTGTCACGGTCTCGTCCGCTTCTAGGGATTTTGGGGTTTTAGGCTGTCACGGTCTCGTCCGTTTCTAGGGGTTTTGGGCTGTCACGGTCTCGTCCACTTCTAGGGGTTTTGAGGTTTTGGGCTGTCACGGTCTCGTCTGCTTCTAGGGGTTTTGGGCTGTCACGGTCTCGTCCGCTTCTAGGGGTTTTGGGGTTTTAGGCTGTCACGGTCTCGTCCGCTTCTAGGGGTTTTGGGCTGTCACGGTCTCGTCCGCTTCTAGGGGTTTTGGGGTTTTAGGCTCTCACGGTCTCGTCCGCTTCTAGGGGTTTTGGGCTGTCACGGTCTCGTCTGCTTCTAGGGGTGTTGGGCTGTCACGGTCTCGTCCGCTTATAGGGGTTTTGGGGTTTTAGGCTGTCACGGTCTCGTCCGCTTCTAGGGGTTTTGGGCTGTCACGGTCTCGTCCGCTTCTAGGGGTTTTGGGGTTTTGGGCTGTCACGGTCTCGTCCGCTTCTAGGGGTTTTGGGGTTTTAGGCTCTCACGGTCTCGTCCGCTTCTAGGGGTTTTGGGCTGTCACGGTCTCGTCTGCTTCTAGGGGTGTTGGGCTGTCACGGGCTCGTCCGCTTCTAGGGGTTTTGGGTTTTAGGCTGTCACGGTCTCGTCCGCTTCTAGGGGTTTTGGGCTGTCACAGTCTCTTCCGCTTCTAGGGGGTTTGGGGTTTTGGGCTGTCACGGTCTCGTCCGCTTCTAGGGGTTGTGGGCTGTCACGGTCTCGTCCGCTTCTAGGGGTTTTGGGCTGTCACAGTCTCTTCCGCTTCTAGGGGTTTTGGGGTTTTGGGCTGTCACGGTCTCGTCTGCTTCTAGGGGTTTTGGGCTGTCACGGTCTCGTCCGCTTCTAGGGGCTTTGGGGTTTTAGGCTGTCACGGTCTCGTCCGTTTCTAGGGGTTATGGGCTGTCACGGTCTCGTCCGCTTATAGGGGTTTTGGTGTCACGGTCTCGTCCGCTTCTAGGGGTTTTGGGGTTTTAGGCTGTCACGGTCTCGTCCGCTTCTAGGGGTTTTGGGCTGTCACGCTCTCGTCCCCTCTAGGGGTGTTGGGCTGTCACGGTCTCGTCCGCTTCTAGGAGTTTTGGGGTTTTAGGCTGTCACGGTCTCGTCCGCTTCTAGGGGTTTTGGGCTGTCACGGTCTCGTCCGCTTCTAGGGGTTTTGGAGTTTTAGGCCGTCACGGTCTCGTCCGCTTCTAGGGGTTTTGGGCTATCACGGTCTTTCCGCTTCTAATTAGGGGTTTTGGGCTGTCACGGTCTCGTCCGCTGCTAGGTGTTTTGGGGTTTTATGCTGTCACGGTCTAGTCCGCTTCTAGGGGTTTTGGGCTGTCACGGGCTCGTCCGCTTCTAGGGGTTTTGGGGTTTTGGGCTGTCACGGTCTCGTCTGCTTCTAGGGGTTTTGAGCTGTCACGGTCTCGTCCGCTTCTAGGGATTTTGGGGTTTTAGGCTGTCACGGTCTCGTCCGCTTCTAGCGGTTTTGGGCTGTCACGGTCTCTTCCGCTTCTAGGGGTTTTGAGGTTCACGGTCTCGTCTGCTTCTAGGGGTTTTGGGCTGTCACGGTCTCGTCTGCTTCTAGGGGTTTTGGGGTTTTAGGCTGTCACGGTCTCGTCCGCTCTAGGGGTTTTGGGCTGTCACGGTCGTCGCTTCTAGGGTTTTGGGGTTTTGGGCTGTCACGGTCTCGTCCGCTTCTAGGGGTTTTGGGGTTTTAGGCTGTCACGGTCTCGTCCGCTTCTAGGGGTTTTGGGCTGTCACGGTCTCGTCTGCTTCTAGGGGTGTTGGGCTGTCACGGTCTCGTCCGCTTCTAGGGGTTTTGGGTTTTAGGCTGTCACGGTCTCGTCCGCTTCTAGGGGTTTTGGGCTGTCACAGTCTCTTCCGCTTCTAGGGGGGTTTGGGGTTTTGGGCTGTCACGGTCTCGTCCGCTTCTAGGGGTTGTGGGCTGTCACGGTCTCGTCCGCTTCTAGGGGTTTTGGGCTGTCACAGTCTCTTCCGCTTGTAGGGGTTTTGGGGTTTTGGGCTGTCACGGTCTCGTCTGCTTCTAGGGGTTTTGGGCTGTCACGGTCTCGTCCGCTTC